GGATTCCAATAACACTATTGGCTTAAAATTTGGATTTTCAAAGTATTTCACTGAGTACCCTATAAAGGGTTAAAAGTATCCTGTTGACATAAATGCCTAAAGGACTCGCACCTCTATATCTCTATGACCTACTTGAGACTTCAGTTCCTTCTCAGGCACCAAGATCAATGGATCAGTTGTGTTTGGTTGTCCAAAAAACAAGGATGAAGTTATCAAGCATTTTCAGTTGACTTCAAAACTCTAGAAATCCATTCCTGCCAATATTAGACAGGCTTTTTAAATTATTTTCAAGATACTTTTTAAAGCACATCTGTCCCTTTGCAATTACCTGCTGATATTGTATTATTGGTGCCTATCTCCAGCAGTCAATGGGCGAGAGGCGGGGTACACCGTGGACGCCATGCACACTTACACAGGTAAATTAACCAGGTCATGTTTTTGGACTGTGGGAGGAAGTCGGAGTACCCAGAGAGAACCCATGCTCAGGGAGAACATGCAAACTCCATGCAGAAAGACCGGGAATCAAACCCAGAACCTTCTTGCTGCAAGGCAGCAGTGCTACCCACTGCTCCACTGTGCTGATATCGTATTACGATTTGTTTGTTTTTTATGTTTGATTTTTCCCTTACAATTGTATTGATTTTTTATATCATCTTATTGCTTTTGTGTCCGTCAGAACTTTGGTAAAAACCGGTTGTTTTTCAATGCGTTTTATTAAAAAGTTTGTTGAGATAGTTGATTCAAATGTTTAACTACAGTGTTCCAGCCATTTTACAGTTAAAAGGGGTTGATTGAGGAGCTGGCCATATCTCATATCTCCCCCCAAACCTCACCGTACATCATAAGGTTAATCTCCCGTAGAGTTTAGAAAAACATTAGTAGGTATATGTCATTTCTTTTGTAAAATAGTGTTTCCAAAAATTAAAGTTTTTTGTTTTGTAATAAACCCAATTTTTGACCCCATAATGTAGTTTTTGCCTTGGACAACAAATCTTAGTTTACTGCATTTTCTCCTCCTGAATATAAAGAACTGCAATAGACTCGGTTTACGGAGATGATGACTTTGAGCAATGCAGTATTTGAAATCTAACTTTTTAGAAGTGAGACAAGCAGCCCACAGTCCTGCAAGACAAGCAGCTATAGACATTTGATATATAGGTGGATATTTCCTCATAATACTGATGTTTCAGAGTGGTCCAGCATTTTCCAAATTGAATCTTGTTGATTAGATGGACTGTTAGAAAGCCTTCAAACCTCAAAGACTGATAGGGCCGACAACCAAAGATAATTCCTCAGTATATCAGAGGAACATCTAAAACACAGGTCAGGAATTGAAAGAGGAAGAGGGTTTGTTGCTATAACACCAATAAGGATTACTCTTCTGGATATTGGAAAACAAGTGTAAATCATCTGACAGCATTTTTCATTAAATGTACTTAAAACCTTTTATTGAAAGATTTCAGATAGCTACATTATCAAGACATACCTTAATTCTTAAAAGGTCTTGTAACCAAGACCTTTTAAAAATTTCTTGTAACCTAAACCTCCCTGAGTAATGAGCTTATAAAAAATTAATAGTTTGCCCAACAGAAAATGTTCTTGTTGCAAACTTGTCTCTGTGTCATATAATTAATAAAATCAAACATTTCTCTATTTTAAAATTTCTTTAAGAGTTGAGAGTAAACTGCTACCCATAAAGTTAAATTTTCCCCTTATCAGGAAACTTTTAAGACAGTGTGGTTCATTCTTGAGTTTAATAAATATAATGAGGGTTGAAATTAACCAAAAGAAAAAAAAAAAGAAAGATTCTGACAATTAGTTTGACTTGTGGAAAACAGTATATCTATCCATTACCTAAACCAACCAGTGTTATTTTGCACAATAACATATTTCCTTATGTAAAGTTAAAGAATTCTCAGCCATTTTCTAGCTCAAACTTTCATTATGTTAAAAGACATTATGTCCATTATGTCTTTTAATAGTCCTAAATGCATAGAAAACTTTTCATTTATAGATTTTTGTAGCATTCCTACTCAATTTAAGTCAAAGTTAGAAAGCAAATAAATTATCAGCTTAAAATAAACCACATATTAGAAATGTAATAAACTTCAAAACCATCTCAGATCTTTTTAAAAAGGAGAATGTTAAAAAGTCATCAGCGCTTGCAAGACATTTTATTTTATTTTTACTACAATTGAACAAACAACTAAATACTGGAATGTTATCAAAAATAATTTTAAACTCAGAAGTGTGAAACTACTGAACATGTTAGATGTAAAGCTAAACACAAAGATTATTTATATGCAATTCTATTGAGAAGTTTAGGGTTTTTCCACAGACTAAATGTTATTCTGGGACTGTTTCAGTTAAATCGTTAGCTGAGCTGCATCTTTAACAAAGGACTTCAAGACGCCGAGATCTGGCAGGAGAGACGACACCCCGAGACAATACCACACATCCCCATTATGGTCCACAGGAGCGCTGAAGGAATCAATCTGCACTCCCTCTGAAGCCAACACTCCTAAACAAAGAACGATTGGGGGAAAAAAAATGTGGGTGTGAGTTTAAGAAACAAAGACAAACGTTTAACACTGCAATTCAGAAATGTTAACTGCAATCTTCAATCCCAATTAAAAGTCTTTGAGAATGGATATGCATGAAAACAATAGAGGGGGAAGAAGAAACTAAAAACAAGAACATTTAGAGTTTCATCATGGTTTTGAAAGCACATCTACCCTTAAAACTTCTCAACTTTAGCAGTAGAGTAAAAGTTTAGGTGCATTCTATACAGACATCTTTACAAACAAATATGGAACCTAAAGCACATGTTTTATATGTTTACTACAACTGATGATTCTTTGAAAATTAACAAATCTTCCAAAATGCTGATTTATAGATGTTGGAGCTCGGCCTGTTTTTTCAGTGTAGTCCTGTTTTTCTGACTGTGACTAAGTCTATGTGCTCTCTTTAAGTCTCTGACATGGGAGCTGTCTCGGAGCTCATCTGTCTGGCTGTGTGTTTCCTGGTAGGGGTCACCTGCAGAGCTGGTTAACCTTTTGTATCTCTGCTTCTTTTTTCTTTTTCTTCTTTTTTCTTTTCTTTTCTTTTTTTCTATGTCTGCTTCTGTCTCCTTAAACCCCAGTCAGCCTCGGCAGATGGCAGCTCAAACTGAGCCTGGTTCTGCTGTAGGTTTCCTCCAGTTAAAAGGGAGTTTTTCCTCTCAACTCTCACTACAAGCATGCTTGGTGTGATGGGTTTCTTTCGAGTCAAAAAGTCGATGTGATCTACTGGTTTTCCTTAGATAGAAAACTTTGACCCAATCTGACAGTATGAACTTGTTGAATTGTCTCTGAAAAGTTCCTTGAGATGACATGTGTTGTGAATTAGTGCTATATGAATAAATTGAATTGAAATGATAATTAAGGCTAAACAAGTTGGTGAAATGTGTTGATAAAATTCTGTCAAGATCTGAAAAAATAAATAAATAAATAAACCCTAATTCTAAACAAAGGTTTAAAGCATAAAAAAAAACAACACACATCAAAAGCTTAACACAGGGAAATTGCTCGGAAAACCTTTTGGTTATATTTACATGGCTTTCAGACAGTTTTCATGTTTAGTTATGCAGATTTATGCTTAATCTTTCCTGCACTAACGCAGTACTATGTGCCTTACTAGGTGGACTCTGACCCAGCTGTGTGTTTTCTTACCCGCCACAGACGAAAGCAGCTGAGGGCTGGCAGAGGCCTGAAGGAACATTAGGTTTCCAGTGAGAGACACGGGCTGCCTGAAGACGCAGTCGTTCAGCCCCAGCAGGACAGGAACGCCTCCTTGAACCGATCCAGTGGCTTTAAAACTGCAGCCGTCTCCTTTAACCTCAACCTTACACATACCAGCTGCTGCCACCTCCGTAACCCAGTGACTCTCATTCACCTGAGAACACGTTTTATAAATTAAACATATTTAATACCTTCCATTGGGAATTTATAACCATAGATCAATTTCATACCACTATTCCATTGTCCTTGGCGAGGCTCAGGACGTTGATGAGATTAGCTCTGCATCCAGACCCGTGGTTCAGAAGTCCCACGAGAACAGCTGAGGTCATATAACCCCCGCAGGTCTTCATGTAGTCTCCTGGTTTGCAGATAACAGTTTGTTGTAATGAGAAGCAGAACAGAAAAAAAATGCTTTTTAAAGCAGACAGGTTTACTTCATTAAAGACAAATCAGAAAAGGAAACTAGATCTGGACATATCTGTCCTTTCTATATAAAATACTGTTTCCTGATTTCACCACTAGAGGGAGGTAAAAGAAAAACCTGCTGTAATTTTACACTTGAAAGATTTACTCTACCTTTCAGATAACTCTCGATGAAAACAAGTTAGACCAGTCAGTAATATTACCTTGGGTGATGATGTGAGCATGACTCAACGGTTTCCTAGATGTAGCGCAGCTCTGAAGAACTGCGCCGACAGCTTCTCCTAGTTTGATCAGCTGCTGAGACTCCTGGGAGAATGTGCCGGCTAAAATCTGAGCATTTACCTAAAAAAGGACAGAGAGGATCAAAACATCAGAATTGGTTTAAACACTAAACTACTTGTCTGTTTTATAGGTCCATGTATGGACATAGTATTGCTTCTTTCAGAGTCCTATGTCCATATTGTGAGACTGACTCTGAATTCTGGTGAATTTCCCTGAAAGTTAAACTCCAGTTTTATTAGAGTTTAAATCTCAGTAGCAGAATATTTTCCACTAGATTCTGCTTACAGATATCTTTTTTTTGGGGTTAATCAGTACAATCAGACAGATACAGCTTTAACCTAAAAAACCTCAGGGCCCTCAGTCCACAGCTGTTATTAGATCAACATTAAATAAAAAGATAAATCTGTTTATTGGTTTTGTGGATTTTATTAGAGCACCTAGAGAACACATTTAAATTAGCAAAATAAAAATAAAAAGGTTTAACAGATTCAAGCGGCACTTACTGCTCCGACCAGGTTTTTGCCGTTCACCATGTCCACTATCTGCAGAGCGATATCCTCCCCACAGCGAGCCTGCGCCTCCTTCGTGCTGGCTCCAAGGTGAGGACAGCTGATGACGTTAGGATGGTCCACCAGAGGACGGTTCTTAGGCGGCTCCTGTGAACAAAAAAAACAAAAAGTTTTGTAATTACAGTTTTGAAAATGTTTTCATCAGATTTCACTTGCAATAATTAACCCTTATTCAACTTTTTTTTATCCATTTCCACAAAATTGTAATAAATTATAATTGAGCAGAGCTCACATTGCGTCATGGCCCCTAAATCATTCAGGCCAAGCACTAAAGAAATGGGTTTATGGTTATTTTGGGAACTACAGGCTTGGATAATGCAGAATGGGGGAAAATGTTTTTAAACCTACAACTAATTTCAGGATTTCTGAGAAGGAATGGCTCTCCTCTGATAAGTATATTATTATATTAATATTTAACATGCACAGAAGGTTAAATAACCCAATCACAAAATCCTGTCCCAGTTGAAGGATATATTGTGTAAAATGATCAACAGTAGGGGACAGTAGGGTTTCCTGAATCAAACTGATCAGTGGTATTTTTCTTTACTGAGCAATGTTTTATTTAAAATAAAAACCCGGATCAGCTGAAGGAAAGTCTGAGAAGGTGTATGACATCAATTCAATATGTGCACCTCTTCCAAGTTTGATTTATTTTGATGTTCTGTATAGTTTCAAACAGAGACAGCGCATCTAAAATGTGTCTGTTAAGAAAATTTTTTGCAGGCAAGTTATCAAAAGTGCTAAGCTACATTACAGATGTTATTTGTAAGGGAACCACATTACATGTTTTGTTTCTGTTTTTTAGTATAAACAACAACAACAACAACAACAAAAATCCTTAAGGTTGTTTATTGTCTACAGTGGAAGCAGTTGATAGTCTAATCAATTTCAAGTGAGGGCAAATAACACATTGCCCTCTTTAAAGCCATGCACAACTGGGGTCACAAAAGGGTCCATTCTGGGTCCCTTGTTGTTTAGCATCTATATAAATCATCTTTGAGGCTATATTATAGAGGACTGGGTAGCACCGTTGCCTAAAAGCAAGAAGGTTCTGGGTTCCATTCCTGGCTAAGGGTATTTCTGTATGGAGTTTGCATGTTCTCCCTGTGCATGTGTGGGTTCTCTCCGGGTACTCCGGCTTCCTCCAACAGTCCAAAAACATGACTGTTAAGTTAATTGGCTTCTCTAAATTGTTCTTAGATATGAGTGTGTGTGTGTGCATGGTTGTGGTCTTTGGTTGTTGCCCTGTGATAGACTGGTGACTGGTGAAGGTGGCCACACATACTGGCTCTTATGGCACATATCGACTGCCTTTATAATTTCTATTGACATACCTTTGTCTTATGAACTATTATTATCTTAATTCAGTAACGATTTCTGCAGATAATTGACAGAATTCAACTGGAGACTTTGAATCTTTATTAGAAAAAACATCATAAAAAAACTTCATAGATCACTGAGATACATTACCGGCTTTGATCTCACCTCAATAAAGACATCAAGTCCAGCTCCACCACACTGTCCAGACTCCAAAGCTCTGAGAAGAGCCTCCTCATCGATGATGCCCCCTCTTGCACAGTTTACAACCTTTACGCCTTTCTTGCACTTTGCAAACGTTTCATCATTGAGGAGACCTTAGAAATGAAAAAGACACAACATATGTCTGCTTATTGCTGCTTGCTTTGTGATCCTGTTAAAGACAGTGAAGCTCACCAACTGTAGCGGGCATGAGAGGGGTGTGGACAGTTATGTAGTCACACTGTGGCCAGAGCTGCTCCAGAGACATCTGCTCCACCCCCCAGCTCGCAGACACCTCAGGTGGAGTGATTGGATCATAGCCGACCGTCTAGCAGGAAGAGAAGAAATGGCCTCGTAATGTTTAATCTCAGAAGCCCACAAGTCTCATCATGTTTGACTCATGACTCACCCTCATGCCAAAAGCTTGCATTCGTGTAGCAACCTCCTTTCCTATTCGACCGAGCCCAACAATCCCAAGCACTTTGCCGTACAGCTCTGCACCCATGAACTGTGGAAGGGAAAACAAAGACCCCTACAACTAAATATGAACGGCGCAGAACCAACTGTCATGTTTCATTACTAACAACCGGATGAACAATGGATTCAACCATGCAACTTAAACTGCAATACGTGCAAAATCCAAACATCTCCCAGATGGGAGTCTCTGCCTACCTTTTTGCGATCCCAGTTGCCTTGTTTCATGGACATCGCAGCCTGAGGCACATTTCTAGAGACCACAGGAATAAATCAGTTTATATTTCATTTTGCTTGACTAATTAGGGCTTCTATTGAGGAGATGTTCAAATAGTCCGACTCCTCTTGCCTTGAGAGGCTCATCAGCAGAGCACAGGTCAGCTCGGCGGCACTGATCGTGTTACCACCTGGTGTGCTGGAGTAAAATAAACGGTATAGTGGGTCAAATAAACTCTCATAGAATATATATCCGTGTAGCTGAACACCTACTTCATGACAATAATGCCCTTTTTGGTGGCAGCATCGACATCCACATTGTCCACACCAGTCCCAGCTCTCCCAATGAGTTTGAGATTATCAGCAGCATTTATAACATCTGCTGTCACCTTGGTGGCAGATCTAACGACAAGGCCATCATAGTCCTGAAGTTTAAACCAGAGCACAGAATTATTTCAGCATTTATATAAATGAATTGAACCTTTTTATAACATTGAATTACAAGCGTATACCAATATATACACTCTTTTTACTAAAATGTATATAAATGAGATAAGAGATTATTTAAATCAATATTGTATTATTGTAATATGGTTACAATATCTTCTTATTTTATTTTTTATTTAATCTGAATATATGAATCTGGAATCCACACAAAACACGGTATCTGCACCTTTACCTAGGTAAATGTGCAAGGTAGCTGCGTTTTAGTGTAAAGATGAAACTCCTTGAGGCTGAAGAAGCCATAATAGGGGGTGAAACACTTATTCCACACCATTAGGTGGCGCAGTAATGGTGCCACAGAAGTGAAAAGGGTACAAGCAGAAACAAAAAAGCAGAGTGAAAACAAGAATCAATTAAAACAGGGCTGCAACTAATGATTAGTTTGCTGATTGATTCTTTTGGTCAATTACTTGATTATCAATCTGATGTTAAAAA